GGATTTCGTGTAGGAAGATGGTGCACTGATTTTATTTAGCGTATGGACTTTCACAGTACGATAAATATACAAATACAATTACAATAATATACACATATATATTATATATATTATTCAAACACTAAAAATAGTAAAAATAGAATGAATAGAATGAATGACACTAAATATTAATGTCCAATTTACATAGCCATTCAATTGCTTCTGGAGAACATTCCGCAAAGTCCTGGAGGTTTCCACGGTAGGCACGATTCAAGCAGTCTGAAACACAATGGCTTATGGTCTGTCTAGATTCTCCGCAATCGCACTGTGGACTTTCTGCACGACCCCACCTGAACAGCGAATCAGCACATTTACCATGTCCGGTACGTATACGATTAAGCCTTGCCCAATTGGACCGGGGCAGATTTGATCCGATGAAACCCTGAGTTGGGGTGGATATCTTAATATAGTCCGATTCTACTGTTGGCATCCATCTTGTTGTCCATTGCCTATGTATATCATAGGAATTACCAATTTTTCGGGCAGATCGTATTGGAGGATTTCTAGATCTTAATCGTTGGTGCTCTTTTGAGATGTCTGGGATATCTTGATGTATTGGTAATTGTACGTTGGCTACAATTTTCTGGTACTCTCTCACTAATGCTGCTGTACGGCGTAGATCTGGTGGAGCAATATTGCTCAGAGTAGGCAGCCATCTCACTGGCGTTGATTTTATTGTTCCAGTGATTATTCTCATGATTTGGTTAAGTTGGACATCGATTTTGCTTGTATGTGCACTATTTAGCCATACTGGTGCACAAAGTTCTGCCACTGAAAAAACCAAAGCTAGAGCAGAGGTCCGAAGAGTATCTGCAGAAGCACCCCAAGTTGTTCCAGCAAGTTTTGATATTAAGTTATTTCGTGTTCTTAGTTTACCGGCTGCGTTTGTAAGATGACTTTTGAAGGTGAGTATTCTATCAAGTGTGACGCCTAGATATTTGGGGTTGTTGTTATGTTTGATAGCTGTGCCATTTAGAGTTACATTGAGAGTATTGCCCGCAAGTTGATTCGACAGGTGAAAGAGACAGGTTTCAGTTTTGCTTGTGTTAGGACGTAAGCGCCAGTTCTTAAAATAGTTACTTAGTGTAGATAAGTCCTCGTTTAGAGCTGGTTCTCCTGCTTCTTTACTAATATCTTGGAAGCCAATGGCCAGGTCGTCAGCATAAGCAAATTTTCTCGATTTTGTTTCAAGTATATCTGCTGTATAAAGGTTAAATAATAATGTATATCGTGCACTGATGGTATATTCGTTCTGAAGCAGATAATCGAAAAACGGAAGGCAAGGAATCTATCTACCCACCTATTGTTTGTAGATTTAGAAAAGGCATATGATACGGTACCTTTGAAAAAACTGTTTCAAACATTGATGATAGTAGGTTTCAGTAGAGAGTATGAGGATGCTATCACATCTTTAAGAAGTGTCGTTAAAGAAGGAAACTTTATATCTCAATCATTTCCAATAACAAAGGGACTTAATAAAGGATGTTGTCTATATCCGACCTTATTTAAAATATAGATTCAATCATTGCTAAAGCACTGGAGGAAAGAAGTCTTCGGAATGGGAATAGACATACCCTGTGATAAATGTCTAACAACTTTATTTTTCGCAGATGATCAGGTAGCCGTAGCGAATAATAAAAAGGACATGGACTACATGTTTAGAAAACTTAAGAAAGAATTTTTATTCATAACGGCATTAGAATATGCCTTTAAGATGATCAATTGGGACCACAGAGGAGTGACGATAGACGGCGAAAAGCTTAACCATCTCCGTTTCGCAGATGACATTGTCCTTATCACAGATAATTTAGGAGAAGCTACAGATATGTTAAACGAATTGGATTTTGCATGTTCGAAGGTGGGCTTGAGAATGAACTTGACCAAAACTAAGTTTATGACAAATTTGGTCCCCAATAACCATTTGACTATTCAAGACAAAGTGGTAGAACTGGTGGAGAAATATACGTATTTGGGTCATGAAATAAGAATCAGCAGGGATAACCAAACATGTGAGATCCAAAGACGAATTACTTTAACATGGGCAGCCTTTGGAAAACTGCGAGACACACTTAGGCCAACATACCAATCAGCCTCAAAAGAAAAGTGTTTGACCAATGCGTATTACCGGTCATGACCTATGGGGCGGAAACTATGACTTTAACCAAGACCACGGCTTCGAAACTGAGAGTGGCACAGAGACGAAGGGAACGGTCTATGCTGGGAGTGACGTTGAGGGACCGAATAAGAAACGAAGATCTGCGAAGAAGGACGAGTATTACTGATGTTGTGGAACGCATAGCGGAACTAAAATGGAACTGGTCAGGCCATGTAGCGAGAATGCACGATTCACGATGGACGAGCAAAATTACAAACTGGAGGCCAAGAGCAGACAAACGCAGTAGAGGAAGACCACCTACACGTTGGGCCGACGACATCAGGCGTATCACTAAAAATTGGCAACAAAGAGCACAAAATCGTGAGGAATGGAGGAGTTTAAGGGAGGCCTATGTCCAGCAGTGGACGTGATAAATAAAGGCTGGATGATGAAGAAAAAATATGTGAATGTAAAATGGGACCTCAATATAAATATGTCAAAGACAGAGTATCTTAAAATAGGAGATGATGAAGAAGATCCAGAGTTAGAAATTAGAAACTCAAAAACGTAATGAATATAAATATCTCGGATCTATAATATCTAAAGAAGGCACTATCAAAAGAGAAATCTAAAACAGAACGCAGCAATAAATATTCTAAACTCTCTACTATGGTCTAAATATATTAGACCAGAAACAATATTGACAATCTATCGGACCTTGGTAGAGCCTATTATGACATAGGGCACAAGTTTTTTAGATCACCTAAAAAGATAGAAAAAGACTAGAAGTAGCAAAAATGGATTTTCTAAGGAGAGCGTGTGGTGTATTCAGAAATAGAATTGAAGCGAGACAGACAACTAGTGTGGTATGGTCACGTGAAGCGAATGAATGAAGATATATGGCCAAAGAAAGCTTTTAATTACATACCACAACAAAAAAGAAGGGGAAGGCCTTGATTTGCCTGGGAAGAAAATGTACGGTACATAATGAGAGAGAGAGAGAGCCATCAAAGAAGACGCATGGATGGACAGAAAACGGTAGCGGTCGAAATGCGTGAAGCGGCAGAGGCTGTAGGAACCTCGCATGGGTTTTACGCTTCCAGTTGAAGATTTTTAAGGGTTTTAGGTTTTATTCATCTATTCGATATATCAAAAAGGTCTTCCTGCATCTGTTCTACCTAATCCATAAAGATACAGAAGAACAAAAGAAAATAATTTTATCAATATTTTCTTATTTTTTACATATTTTCTAAATAGATGATACTTTAGATGGTAATTTTCAATTATATTTATTTTTCTAAGATTATTTTTAAATAATTTTAGAGGTATTATTAAAATATTCCTCAAATAAATATTCCAATTACAAAAAGAAACCACGTACAGCACTTAACAAACCACCTTGTTACAAAATCACATTAACTCGAATTGAACTAATTTCTGACCATAATCCCTTAGGGGTACACGTAAAGGGAGCATTTTTCCGGCTTTGTTTAACTGGAAACGGGACATGAAAGACGGCGTCGCCGCTGCAGCATTCTTGATGGTAGTAATCCTAGCTGATCGCCGAGTGCCATGAAACAATCGCAAAACGCGCACGCGACTGTAAAGGTCGCCGAGACGAAAACTAGTGAAAATACGAAGAAGAACTACGTCAGTGAAGTTATTTTATTATACGGAGTTTGTGTGTACAAATTTGTGTTTGAAACTTTAAACAAAATTTCCCACTGCGGATTATATTTTAGAGAATACGGAAGGGCGAGATTTGAAGTAAATAAAAACTATTTTATATTTATATTATTTTTTCGCTTTTCTTTTGCTTTTATTTAATTTTAAGATTTGTTTCTTAATATGTCTCAGATATTATCACTGCCTTGGTTTTATGCTCTCTCCTATTTCTATAACTTATCTATCTATATTATTTACATTTCTTTGCATTTTTTTAATCATGTGTTCGTATTTCGTCGCTCCTCTATTTTCTGTATTGATTAATCGCGTATGTTCTGTCAATAATTTTTTTAAGTCATACACTTCTTCTCCACAAACTATTGAATATCTTTTCTTTATTTTCGCAATTCCTCGTTTTTATACACATATTGAACCCAACTTTCTTCTCTTCCTCCTCCGATTATTTTTCTTCAAGAACTACAGTTTCTTCAACCAATATTTCAACTTTTTTTCCGTCATATTTTTACCCACCGTTTTCGACACAGTACTGCCATTTAAATTTTCTTACTCCTCTTTATCTCTTCTTGTTCTACATTTGTGTCCATCTGTATCGACATTACACTTCTTTCCTTTCTATTTCTTGTCCTCCTCCTCTTCCCCTCTTTTATTTCATCGGTGTCCATCGTTTGCGATGCCACACTTCTCATTCCCTTATATTCAATATGTGTTGTCAAAACATCTACGTCATTTCCTGCGTCCTCTTCTTCTTCCTCCTCATTACTTTCATCCTTCTTGTCATTATATCCTCTTCAAATTTTACAATTATAATTTGTTTGCAAAATTCATTTGCGTTCCATAATTATCCAATTCATCCACTCCCTTGACAATGTTATATTTCATGTCTTCAATTATAAAACAATTTATTAAATATTCTTTAATTTTAATTCTCAATGTCAAAACAATAGCCCCATTCGTGGTCGAAATCTTTGTTGAATTCGCACTCAATAACCTTATTCAAGAAATATCCTAAATCATTTATCAATTGTTTATGAACTAATGATACCTCTGAACCAGTCTCAAAAAGTATATTAATCTTTTTATTTTTGATATATCCATGTACCATAACCAAATTATTGCGCAAGTAACATATTTTTTTCCGCTAAAGTGATAAATTTCTTAGGATGAGTATATATTCTTGTATTCAATTCATTTTGGGAGTGCTCTCCCGAAAAGATGGCCCTGCTCTATTATTTTCTACTTCCACATTGTGTATTTCTTGATGTCCTTGTTCATCTTCGCCTTCTTTGATTAAACGTAGGTTGTCCATTGTTGTTGTTATATTGGTTTCCTCTATTAAAGTTTTCCCGTCCTGGATTTGGCTGATATGTTTGACTGTTGTTGTATCCATTGTATCGGTAGGGATTGTCATTACGAACCGGTCTGTAGTTGAGTGTGCGATTTTTTTTATTGTTCTTATTGTTTTCCATTTGCCTACCTGTCCTTCTTTCTTTTCTTCTGGCCTCTGTTACAGCTAAGAACTAGCATAAACTATCCGTGTCCCTATATACTTGTAAGGTGACATAGTCTTCCATCGTATTGTCAAAATGTCTTGCTATCTATTTAACTAGCTGTTCTTCCAGATAATTATAATTTAAATATTGCCCACTGGAGTATACTAGTAACGCATATCTTTTTTCGAAAATTTCTAGTTTCTCATCATAATTTCCATTTTGTAGTTCACTATTCACGACCATCTGTTTCTCTTTTCTCCAATAATAATTAAAAAACTTCCTTTTAAAATGTTCCTAATCTTGTAAATGATTTTGCTTACTCTTGAACCATAATCTGCTCCTTCATTAAAATGATTCCTTATCATATCCTTAGCCTCTTCAAAATCTTTATACCCTTGTTTTTTTTATTTTTCAGCAAATAATAAATATAACTGGGTATGTTTTTCTGAATTTTGGCTAACTTCCTTTGTTTTCTGCTCTATTTCATGTTTTAAATGTTGTATATACATTTGTACCTCCTCTTTAAGCTGTTCTAGTCTCTATTCCATTTGTTTAAAACCTAAATCTTATCTTTAACTGGTTTCGTCTGTACGTTTTTCTACTCTTTCTGCTTGTCTTTTACTGTTTTATTCTTGTATTTGTAGCATCTATAATATTCTATCCATTGTTAACATTTCTGTGCTACTTTTTTGGATTGTTGTTTATGCAATACCATTATTTACATACATTTCCTATTTCTTCCTCGCTATAACATTCTTCTGTCTCTTCTGGTTTTGTCTGTATCTTGTCTTTATTTTCTTACCTTTTTCTGGACTGAACAATGTGAAAGTCTAAACCAATTAAAATATTATCTTTGCCTATTCCCAACGAATGTTTATCAATTTAAAATATCTGGTTATATAAAAATTATTCAAATTGAAAAAGGGTTAAATAATAAAAATCAAAACTAAATTTGTCGACATTTGGCAGAGAGAAAAAAATTAGAAAAATCATGTAAGAAATTACATATTTTCCAGTACACTTTGTCTTAGTATTGGTGTTTCTGCTTTTGCCCCACACGTTGGGCGACAATTGTTTTGATTCTACTTACTTTCTTAATGTAGTTATTTAGAAAAAAAATTATACTTATATCTATTTTCAATTATTAATGAATCAATACTTTTTTTGTTAAGGATTAACTCAAATTATTTAATAATCTCAGGGTTTTACGTTATCCAATCACAAATATGAAAAAAACAAATTTTAAAAAGGAACTACTTCTTTTTTTTCTGCCTTTATTTGTTTACAGTAATATGTACAATAATATATATATATATATATATATATATATATATATATATTTATATATATATATATATATATATATATATATATATATATATATATATCGATGCCATGGAAGAAGACGGTTATATGTCAAAATAAATGGAGCAATTTTCAGAGAAACAGTCATTTAAAAAGTCAATAAATTTTAAAATATAAAACTTGATTTTATTTTAGGTCACAAAATGGTTTTGAGTTGTGATGTTCCAAAAAAAATGTGTTGGGCGTTTTGAGATAATTCACTTATTTATTAATAAGTCGAAATAATTTGTAGATGGTTGAATTCAAAAATTCAAAAGTTCTAATGATTTTCAAAAATACTGACATAACTCAAAATAATACTAAAACTCATTTTAAACATAACCTCAATTTCTTTACAAGACTGACATTATAATAACCTATACCGTGAATGTGGACAAATGGAATCATTAGAACACATGTTTTGGGAATGCCCAATAAACAGAATAAAAGACTATGATGTCTATCAGGAACTGATTAAAATTAATGTTAAAATCCTAACTAACATACCAATGCTTCTATGCGATATTAACCTTAAAATTATCAAAATTCTTCACAAATTCCTACAGATCAACCATATAAAATTATAACCTTCATAATAACCTATCCAATACTAACATTGGAACCACTTATTACAACAAAAGAAAACATAAATAAAATGTAAATACTATGTAGATGAAATGTCTATATTCACTGATAATAGGGCATGAGATATATTCTCAGACTCATGACAGTGGCCCAAAAATTAACAAAACAAGTGTACTGGCTGATTATTCAGTAGAATAAAGGCCAAAAAAAAGAAGAAGAAAAAGAACAAGTCTGACACAACTCAAAATAATGACAAAAACTTGGAAAACCGAAGATTTCTAAGTGTTTAATACCAAATTAAGATTATTGTGCCCTAAATCTGTGCCTTTTAAGCTTTTTAAGTCAAACAGACGGTAAATAGGACCGATATATCAAGTTACCTAGGTTAAAATCTTTCGTGACTTGGTTTCTTATACTCAAAGTAAACGTGTAAATAAAGATATAGAAAGACAGGTAAGATTTGATTTCATGTATAGTGTATATAAGTATTTCGTCTTAACAAGACACATCAGAGCAACTGGTGTAGAAGCCTCGAACGTGAAATCAAATTTTTCCGCCATAGGAAGTAATAATAATATAACTTCATACAAAGGCTACAGGCGCCATCTGAGAATAAAAACAAAAACTTAGAAAACCGATTTAGGTATTAATTTGAATTTGGTTTCGAACACTAAGAAATCCTCGATTGTGTTCTTAGGAAAGGAAGGCATATCTCAAAATATGATAATATTGTACAAAATGTGCCAACTTTTTGATTAATAATAACGACACTTCTACCATCTGACGGTCATAGAAATACACTAATTTTATGACGTTATCACACAAAAAATAGAATATTTGAAATCTGTTTAATAACAGATTTTTCATCTTTTTTGACATGTTGGAATTCTTCCAACGGAGCGATATGTTTTGAAAGACATGTCTTGTGTGCTAAAATGAAGTCGTTTTAATGAAGTCGCTCTAATATTCTCCAAAGCGTGAAAAGTGTCCTCCCTGTACAATATTGAATGAATAAATACTTAACATTTATAAATATGTAATTATGTGGCTAAAGGTTTTAAACCAAAATATACGCTGAGTTCGCCTTCGTTTAGGATAATGAGGTTTACTAAATAACTTCTTATTGCCACTTGCGTAATTGATGTTTTTAGTTTGAATTTTTTTTTAATTATTTGTTTAGTAAGAATTCTAAACTATATTTATTTTTTTTTCAATTTACTATTTTACGGATTTGCAAAATCTATCGCAGTCACACTTTCTATTTTCGACAGGTGTTTTGGTTTTGCATGGTTTAGATCCTTAAAAGCAATAGTTTTGTAAGACAAACTTATTCAACTATAATACGACGGTAATTTAATTGCTTTTTTAACCTTTTTTTTAATTTATGAATGTGTAATTACTAATAAAGATTTACAACTACAGTTTATTACTAAAAAGAATATATTATGTATAGCCTTTTTTATTCATACAAGTGATGCTATATATGTAATATAATTATTTTTAAAAACCATCTTTCTTTCTACTTTTCAAACAGAAAACTTCTTCAGACATCAAAGCTAGAATATGTTCACTCGCAAGTACTTTAAAAGGTATTGATTTTTTGAAAAAATTTTAGAGAATAAAAGTTGGTTATCAAATACTCTATAGAATAAAAGTTGCTTAGAATTAGTCAATTTATCCATTTTCGGACTTATTTTGAACGTATGTTTTTTTACTCCCGAGAAAGGGTGGATTTTGCCCCCAAGTAAAAGCAACCCTAAAGTAAGAAGAACCTAAATCCAAATTTTCAAGCAAATATATCGTGACGATGAAAATTACATTCCCTAAAGGTCATTTACTGACGTAATTGGCAAAACTGTGATAGCAAGTTCATATTTACATATTTCCATTGACTCTTTTTTACAAATTAATGGTATCTTAAAGTGTTTTTTGGAATTTTCTTAACGTAAGTGTATAATTAAGTTTATAATATATTACATAAACTAGATAATGATAGAAAAACTTGTTTCTAAATTTGTTATTTTTGTTTATAAAACATTTAAAGTTTTTCTTTAAAATGTAAATATATTTTTTACTATTTGAATGATTTATGAAACTTTCGATAATATTTGATTATTGCAGTAATACTTTGATCGAAATGTTTTTATTTAAATCGTTATGCATTTTAAAATTTAATTACAAATATATCATAACATTTTAATTTATAGTGATATTTCATATGAAGCGCTTCAATTTTTAATTAAAGTTTAATTAGAAGAGTAATATAATTATTTGATATTGTCAATAATATGTTTTTCTAAAATTTATTAAAAATCCTTTGTAAAAGGTATATATTAATATATACCTTTTACAAAGGATTTTTAATAAATTTTTTAATATATGATATACAGCCAACTATAGGAACGTAAATTCCTTGTGGATTAATATGTTTTTCATACAAATATATTCTGTTTTTGTAATAGGAAATACTCTTTAACATTTTAACGATAATATTTTCCTACCCCAGGGTAAGATTATGGGGGTAAAGATAGGGCAAGCAAAATAAACACTACTTGTGCGAACGGCACTCAGGGTTTGTTAGGAGAGCTGGGGTCGTGGATAAGTAAAAAATAAGGAGGTTAGATTGGGGCAACTACAAAAAAAATTAAATAAAGAGTCATGAATTTCTTAGGGCAAACAAAACAAAAAGAAACAGGAAACACCTCTAGTAATTTAATATAGGGCGCCACTTGAGGTGCCTAATTACATCAACTAATTTTAATAGGAAAATAATTATTTGAAATGCAAAACATATCTTTTTTAAATTAAACTCAAAAAAAGGGTTAATTAAAAAATAAACAAAATGTTGAGAAAAAAAAATTAACATTTATTGTGTCTTACCACAAACAGTTATAAAAATAATGGCACAAATTTACATATAGATTAATAGTTACAGAGAATAAGAATGACAAAAAACTTACACGTGTCCTAGCCGTTTACAAATTCTGTT